GGAATACCTGTTTTGTTTTTTTGAGCAACTAACTTTCCTTAGTTGGAGTTTAAATGGTTTACCTTTTATGTTTTATGTACATGTTTTAAGGTTATTATGGGGCAAAATTTTTGTCAGCATTCAAATTAATTTTTTTTCTCAGTTAAGCCCTTAAGTTAGGAAACCAGTGGTAAATAAATTTAGAAAGAGAAAGGGTGTGAGCTAGAGAACTTGGTTTTGGTTTGAGGCGGAAGGGTGATTTTTTTTTATTGGGGAATTGGGGGATGGGAACAGACAAGTTGCTGTCCTTTTGTTCTTCAGTCTAGTTGTGGAGGACATCGCTTCACTGGCCCAAGTTAGCACCATCATTGCGCTCTTCCCGGGCGAGGCAGCTCAGTCGCCAGCTTCTGGACGGCCGCTCACTGCGGCTGCTGGCCGCTCACGCTGGCTGCTGGCTACACACGGTAGCCCATGGCAACCCACTGCAGCAGGGGCTGCAGCCTACGCCCCGTCGCCGGCGACTCCCGGCAGCCCAGCTCCAGATTGAGCTGTTGTTCAGCATCTTAGCTGTAGAGGGCAGTGTCACTGGCCCTCATATGTGGGATCCGAACCGGGGCCCTCTGGCGTCCCAAGCCAGCTCTTAACCAATGCGCCACTCGGCCGGTCTTGATTTGATTTTTTTTTTTTAAGGCGAGAAGAACATGGACCTCATCATAGTACTGCTCTTTACTTGAGGGACTTTGGAGATCTGAAATTGGTCTCTTATCTAATCTAACAGTCTTTGTCTTTGACTGGAAACTTTGGCCCATTTCCATTATGATTACTGACATTTTGATTCATGACCACCACCTTTTGTGCTTTATTTTGTTTATTTATTATTACTATTTTAAATTTTATGGGGGAACAGCCATGGTCATTGATTACACATTGCTTTCATGCTGCAATGGCAAAGTTGACTATTTTAGGGCGGCACAGCTTACAAATTCCCATGCAGGAATCGAACCAGCAACCTTGGTGTTATCAGCACCACGCTCCAACCAACTAAGCTAAACAGTCACCCCCCCTTTTGTGCTTTAAAGATGCTGTCCAGTGTAGTTTTTTTTTCTTCTCCACAAATTAGACATTATTGTTGTGGTATTATACAATCAACATTTATTTAGGTTTGTCTACATATTGACTGATATCTTTGCTTACCTCCCTCCACCCCCCCACCACATCTCAATGTGTCGTCATTTTATTTTTGCTTAAGTTGCATTCTTTGTAAATTCCTTAAGTGGTTGTATATGGAAGTGACGTCTTGGATTATATAGTTTGGTAGAAAATATCTCTATTTTGCCCTCGTTCTTGAAAGGCAGCTTTGCTGGATGTAGAATCGTAGCCTGATAGTTTTCTCACATCCCACTGAAGATAACACGTCCCTAACTTCTGGCTTCCGGTGTTGGTGTTAAGAGTTTGGCCATCAGTTTGATTGCTGTTCCTTTCTCGGTGACCTGTTTCTATCTTCTGCCTCTTAAGATTTCGTGGGGATTCATTTATTGGGCTTATTGGATCAAAGGATTGGTGTCTTCCAATGACTGGAAAATTCTCAGTCATTGTGTCTTTGAATATTGCCTCTTTCTTGCTCTTCTGTCTCTTTCTAGACCTCCAGTTATTCCTGTCACCTTGTCATACTGTTCTTCACAGCTCTTAGCTTCTTTTTCCTGTTTCTGATCACTTGTCCCTTGGGCTGCATTCTAGACAGTGTCTTCATCTGTATCTTCTAATTCACTCAATCTTACACCCTCTAAACACATGCAGATGTGTTTAATCTCTTTATTTACTAAGTTCATTTCAAATATAGTATTTTCCATTTCTAGAATTTCTGTTATTTCACAAGTCTTGATTTGTCATTCTTCATATAGTCCTTCCATTTTTATCCAAGCTTCTGTTTTATTTCTTTAAAACATAGAAAACAGTCATTTTGTTTGTTTTTTCTTGTCTAATTCCAGTGTCTAACATTTGGCTGTTATGGCCCCATCCCCAGTTTCTGGTGTCCCTCAGTTAGGGTGCCTTACTTCCCTGGATGTTTTGTGACTCTTCTGTGACTCCGTCGTCTTCCTTAGAATTTTATCATTATAATCCTTCAGAGAGGATTGGCATTTGTTGTTGCCAGTTGCCTTGGAGGTGCTTCCCCAAAGTATCACTTTGAATTAAATTTTCCAGTTGCAGGTTTTATTATACACAACATGGGAATTGGGACGAACAACCCTCGGGAGTACCTACCTATGGTTTGGAACTCTTGGGAGAGAATTGCCTCCACCCCCGCCCCCATTTACCATGGAGTTTGAGACAGGCCTGCCTCCTTCCTGTCCCCACCTGGGCAGCAGGTTTATTTTTACTCATTATTCTGAAGGCATAACCTTCAGCATTTCTTGTTATGCAGGGTGTCTCCTTTTTTTCCCCTTTTTTTAGATTTTTATTGAGGAATTGAGGGAGGGAAACAGTGTTGGGGAATTGGGGAAGGGGACCAGCCAAGTTGTTCTTCAAGCTTCATTGTGGAGGGCGCCAGTCGCCATCTGGCTTCCCGTCAGCAGGTCATGGCCCCTAAGCTCAAGGTGCTGTGTTCAATCTTAGTTGCGGGTGGGCGTAGCCACCATCCCATGAGGGAGTCAAACCTGGCAGCCTTGTTGCTAAGAGCGCACACTCTATCCACTGAGCCATCCAGGCGGCAGCTCAACACAAGGTGCCGAGTTCAGTCTTAGTTGCGGGTGGGCGTAGTCCACCATCAAACAGGCAGTCTTGTTGTTACACCAGCTGAGCCATCCTGCCAACTGGCAGCTCAGGGACAGCTCAGCTCGGGTGCAGCGTCACTGGCCCATGTGAGAATCGAACCGGCAGCCCTGTTGCTCAGAGCTCACACTCTTATGCCAACTCTTAACCAACTGAGCCACTTGGCTGGCCCCAGGGTGTCTCCTCGTATAATCGGGTCTCAGCTGGGCCTAGGTGTTCTCTCTCACCCCCCATATCTCTGCCATCAGACAGAAGCTCAACATCATTTAGGGCTCCTTAGAAACTCTGGGGGCAAGAACTTAGCTGCCTGCTAGCTTCTCAGGATAAGCTACTTTTATATTCCCTGCCTCTGAAGATTCCTGCTGCCCTTCCAGTTCAGTGATGCATTTATAAAGATATTTCCCTTTGGAATCTAGGATTGTAGTTTCCACGAGGAATCCGGGTAACCAAGGCCCTAGTCTGCTCCAGTGCCAAAATGCAACTCCAAAATGTCATCTGGAAATGGAGATGTTTCTACATGGGATACTGGTGGCCTTGCCTAAGGTCTCATTTTCCTTTATGCGCCTTGCTTGAGGTAACAAATGTCCCTGCTAATTTCAGTGTAGAACAAACATTAAGGTCTGAAAGAGATGGCTATAGTCTTTGATCAAGTTGGAAGCTGGTAAAATACTGGCCAAATAAGTTATATGCAGAGTTACCATATGACCCAGCAATTCCAGCAATTCTGCCCCTAGGTATGTACCCAAAAGACTTGAAAGCAGGGTCTCAAACAGATGCTTGTATGCCAGTGTTCCTAGCAGCACAAGTCACAAGAGCCAAAAGGTGGAAACAACCCAAGTGTCCATCACCACATGGATAGATATCTATACAGAATGCGCTATAGCCACACCATGGAATATTATTCAGCCCTAAAAAGCAATAAAACACACACGCTACAACATGGATGAACCTAGTAACCATCATGCTGCGTGAAAGAAGCCAGACACAAAAGGCCACATATTGTATGATTCATATGAAAAGTTCAGAATGGGAAACCCATAGAGATGAAGTAAATTCATGGTTCCCAGGGTCTGGAGGTGGGGGGAATGGGGAGTGACTGCCTAATGGGTACATGGTTTCCTTTTGGAGTGATGGAAATGTTCTGGAAATTAGAGGTGGTGGGTTGTACAATATGATGTGTGTGCTTAATCCCACTGAATTGTACACTTTAAAATGATTAAAATGATAAATTCTATTTTATATGTATTTTACCACAAAAAAATACTGGTCATTGGACATTCTCAGAAACAGGCAAGGGAAACCTGGGGTACAGACACTTGTCCACTCTCTCCTTGATTACAGCACCCATGGAGTTCCTGGTTGCCACCTGAGGATGACGCAATGAATGGGACCAGGATTTTTAAAATGTTTTAAAAACGTATGGAGGTCGTGTGCTTCATTCACTGCACACTAAATGGGGGCGGGTAAATGTGTGTGTATTTATCCCTCAGTAATATTTTTTCAACTAAATTGTATAATGATTGATATTGTAAAAACTGGGAGAGAGGTTGGGGAGCTGGGCGAAAAGGGATTATGAACTATAAATTGACAGATTAAAGCAAAAAACCTGGAACAGGAAAATCTTACTTCACATCACATTATATCTGTGGCATTATTTTGTGCTAAGTTTCCATCACTTAAGCCCACTTTTTATGGGAGAAATCCAAAATGTCCTGGGCTCACTGACAGGCCGGGCCTGCCACCTTCTCTTTCCATTGCCAGCTCAGCCCTTCCTGAGCTGATGACTTTTGGGCATTTGCCGTAGTTGGGCAGAGGAGCCAGTCTCATGATTTACAGTCTCCCGAGGCCTCGAGTGCAGCAGGGCCCGTTTTCATAAGCCTACAATGTTATGTGGATGTGTTAACCAGGACTCGGTCCCCACTAGCTGCACCCTTGACTACGCCAGGGGTAGTTTCTGAGTAACTTGCTTTAAGTTGTGGGTGCGATTTTAAAAACTAACAGATTGAAAATCAATTTCTTATCCAGTAGCTTTGTCCAGTACTCAAGGTGCTGTGACATCACCAGCTACCATATCACTAGCACATCTTTCCCCGTGTTTGCATATCCCAGATCAGGCCTGGCCTTACAAGTGAGACCTGAGTCTTCCATTACCTTGAGTGTGGTTGGTTACTACATTCCTAAAATAGCAACTTTAAAGAACAATATTTTTATTTATTGACGGTAATTAACGTGTTCTTTTGGCATCTGCGCAGGGTCACGTCGATTGCAGACAGGCTGAATGTGGAATTTGCCTTGATTCACAAAGAAAGGAAGAAAGCGAATGAAGTAGACCGGATGGTTCTGGTGGGCGACGTGAATGACCGCGTGGCTATCCTGGTGGACGACATGGCCGACACGTGTGGCACAATCTGCCATGCTGCAGACAAGTATGAGGGATGGCTTGGGAAAGTGTTAGGATTTCTCCTTAAGAAAGGAAAAAAGTCAGCTTTTTAAAATTGGGCCTGTTTTTCCTAATTATTGCTGGTTGTTTAGCAGTGGCATTTCAGACTGAAAGAGGTTCTGGGCCCCTTTATTTTTTTTCTTGGTGGGAAGAAAATCATGGCCCTTTTTGGCCTGGTTTTCAGTTTCAAGGTTGAGCTTTCGATGTGTTCAGGTCCTGACTCTTTTCTGTTTGGCCTTCACGCCAGCCTTCAAAGACAGTACAAAACAAAGAACATAAGATCTCTCGGTGTTTTTTTGTTGTTGTTTTTTTAATATTGATTATATGTCAACATGATGATATTCTGGCTGTTTTGGTTAGTGATTCTCCACCAAGGGCAGCTTTGCTCCCTGGGGAACATTTGACAATGTCTGGAGACATTTTTGGTTGTCACACCTACGGGAAGGGAGGCATTGCTACTAGGTGAAGTTCAGGGGTTCTGCACACCAAAGAATTACTCAGACCCAACACAGAGGCTGACAATCTCAGATTTAGTGGCATACAAAGTATGTTGCCAGCACATACCTTAAAGATTGTGTTTTCAGCTAATAAATGTGAGTGAACTTGGTTTCATGTTTTTTTCTTTATGGAACACACCTTTTGCTTTTAAATTCACACTAAGGGCAGACTGTTTCAAGAATATTTGGGTACGCTTAATTTTTTTTGTCTTCTGTTTTACAGGCTGCTCTCGGCCGGAGCCACCAAAGTTTATGCGATCCTTACCCATGGGATCTTCTCTGGGCCAGCTATTTCCAGAATAAATAATGCCGCCTTTGAGGCCGTTGTTGTCACAAACACAATTCCGCAGGAGGACAAAATGAATCACTGCTCCAAGATCCAGGTACTGTCTACACTGCAGGCAGAGCCAAACAGCGAGGCACCTACCTTAGATCCCGAAAAATAGTATCGCATCTGCTGTGTGTGACTGCTTGCTAAGGCAGATGTCGGCAGAGGTTGCACTTTCTCATCATGAGGGTGTAATTCATGTTAGAGCTCTGAGAAAGGCTGGGGCTGGCAGAGGTCAAAGTTAGAAACAGTAAGTGCATGAAACCCCAATGGAAATACAGTAAGAAACAGGCTGCACTAAACCATATGACCCAGCAAGTCCATCTCTAGGTATATACCCGAGAATTTGAAAACAGGTGTTTAAATGAAAACTCGTACATGAATATACATAGCAGCCCTATTCGTAGCCAAAAGGTGGAAACCAATGTCCATCAACAGATAAATGGGTAACCAGAGTGCGGTCTGTCAATACAATGGAATATTCTTCAGCCTAAAAAAGGAAGGGAATTCTGACACAGGCCACAGTGTGGATGGACCCTGAAAACAGTATGCTCAGTGAAAGAAACCAGACACAAAAGGACATATATTATATTGTATGATCCCCCTTTTCTTAGGGACCTAGAGTAAGTAGTCAAATTCATAGAGACAGAAAAGGAATGGCAGTTGCCGGTGGCTGGGAGAGGAGTGATGGAGAGTTAGTGATTAATGGGGACAGAGTTGCTCTTTGGGATCATGAAAAAGCTTTGGAAATAGATAATAGGAATGGTTACACAACATTGGGGATGTAATTAATGCCACTGAATTGTATAGTTAACATGACAATTTTTATATTTATTTTACCACAATGAAAACAAGTGGGGGAGGAAAAAAGCAGCAGCAGGCTATGCTAAGGATCTTCAGAGCTTTGTTCCTTCTTGCCTATCTGACTTGAGGCCACCAGAGAGTTGGTGGGAATCACTTGACGCCAGCTGGCCTGAAATACAAGTTGAGTTGTAAGGGTTTGAGTCCCCATTTTGCTTCTGTATTGCAGTGTACCATGGCAAGTCATTTCTAGAAGCCCCCAACCCCATCACGGAGATGGGGCAAAGGGATCCACTTCCTGATCTTTGGAGAGTGAAGCAGTTCATTTGGCGTGAGGAGGAGATATGTTTAGAAATGGTCAAAATAGCCCTCTCTGTCTTAGATTTTCATGCCTGATGAGCAGTAGTTTAGCATCACCAAACTACAGCCCACAGGCCCAATCCAGTGCGCCATCTGCTTTGGTAAATAAAGTTTTATTGGAACGCAGCCATACCCATTCACTTACATATTGTCTATGACCGTTTTCATACTGCAACAACGGAGTTGATTCTGGCCTGCAAAGTGGAAAATATTTATGATCGAGCCACTTAGAGAAAAAGTAGCTTGCTGACCCCTGAGTTAAAATGATCATAGCTGTGCTTTTAAATGACACAGTCACTGCATTTTCTGAAACCAAGAGAGAGAAAAACCTTTCATATAATGAATAAAATTAATTTAAAAATAACATGCCCCAAGAAAAGGATATCTCTGGTTTGCAGTGGCCCTGAAAAGCCTCTTACTATCTGCACGGAAGATCTTGCTTCCAGGATCCTACAGGGGTTTGGTTTAACAGGTTGTCATTTGAAGATAGACCCAAAGCTGTCTGTCCTCAAAAGAAATGGGAGTGGGAGGGCTTGATAGTAACACGTCGTACAGCTGAAGAAATCATAGGTTTTCTGACTTTTATGTTTTTAATCCAATGGGACTAAGATGGCCCACTTTCCTCTCCCCTTTTCTGTTTTTTTTGGTGTTTAGGTTATTGACATTTCGATGATCTTGGCCGAGGCGATCCGAAGGACCCACAACGGGGAGTCTGTGTCTTACCTGTTCAGCCACGTCCCGTTATAAACCCAGGATGGGAGTGTGGAGCAAGCCTGCTGGCTTCTGACTAGTGTGCATTTATCTGATTTTTTTAGCTTTAGGACTCAGCAGTTAGAATGCAAAAGCATCAGATCCTTGTATACTCCAAGATCCATTCTTTCCCCCTTCTATAGCTCAAGACCGTTTAGTTCCACTTTGCGGGGGGAGGGTGGCAGTTATTTGATCTGTGAACTGTCATACATGAGAAATGTTTTTGTCATCTTGACTTGTTCTGATAGGTGACTGTTTCCTTTGTTCAGTACTTTGAGGCCACAACTTTCAAGTATTTAATTCCATTGTGGAAATTCATAGTTTATATATGTCAGGGTTGCCAAAGGTGACTTTAGATAAAGCCTTCTATATAGATATATAATGATAATGCCTATGGACATTTGGGTAAAACCCTGTATAGAATGAGTCCTTTACTTCTAAGAAAACCTTAGAAAATTTATAATATCATGAATTTTTATTATTATTATTATTGTTTTGATTATTGTGATTCATTTGGACCAAATTTTATATAGTTTAATATGGCCACTGACATATTTTGGGGTAAATATTAGACATATCAGAGGCCAAATAGTTCAGTATTTTTTTATTACCACTTCTGAAAAACATAGCTATCACCTACTTGAAATGTCATGTTCTAAAATTCCAAAATTATGCTCAGCAATAGATCTGATTTAGAAACCATTTTGAGAGTCTCCACGCTCACTGTCACATTCATGCTCGCCTCTGTCCATCCCAGAGGGACAGTTCTTTAGGCGCCTCTTGTCCTGTCTTCTTATTTTAGGTCATATTTTTAGCTCTAGCTTTTAGATTGCCTTTTTTCCAATAATTTTACGTTGTGGATTTCCACCAAAACAAAACTCAAAGTCCCCTCCGCGTTCCTAATCCGATCATAATTTTGCTTTTGACATAAATAAAAAGGTGAATTTTTGTGAGTGACACCAAATGCATATTTAAACATTTCATTAGTTTTGATTTAATGTTCTTTGGCCTTTTGTAATCAGAAGTAGCAAGCCTTCTGGGCACCTGATTATTTCAGCTAAAGCTATTACATGAAAAATTTGAGTAAGAAAGGCCTATGAAAAAAGTCCAAGTAAGTAAATATTAGTTCCTCCATTAAAAAATATTCAAATAGGGGCCCAAGTGCAATCATGGAGGGGAAGATTGCTTTCTCCACAGGATGGCCCTTGATGACATCCTCCTAGGTAAGGTGACCCCCTGACTCTGCAGCACATTGGTAGCAACCAACTGACTTCTTTAGCCCTCAAAGAAGGGAGTTTGCCTGCACAGAATAATAAACTATAGTCTCTTCTGCTGAATCTTCAAACTTCAAGAGGATAAAGCCTTTAAATTCTGCAGGTGGAAACATGAAATCTAAGGCATTAACAAATACAGCAATCTTGAAGGTTTCAAACTGCACTACAGCAGAGGTTGAATCAAAGTTAAGTGATTTTAGCCATTGCAGAAACGAGCATTTTGTTGTACCTTAAAGTGGGTTTTGAGAAAAAAATGATATTACAGTCTGGTAAAGTCAGCTATGCAATACAGATTGACTATATCTAGAAAGAGTTGGCTTGAAATAATTTAAAGAGCCTATTCAGATTCTGTGTAATTTTAATTTTTGATAAATGAATGATACCTGTATTTCTTGGAATTCTGTGCATAGAGAAATGAAAATGTAGTTATGAACACACATAGGTAGACAGCTTGGCACACAAAGGCAGACATGATTAAAACCAGTTGATTTAAAGTTAATCATTTCATCTAAGACAGTAAACTAGATAGCTAGTGTTAAAATAATGATCTGAAGATTTAAAAAGTTTTAAAAATCTGTGTTGTCATTCTCTGCATTAAGAACTGATTGTTCCTAACGTTATTTAGCACCGCTTTTGTGTTTTAAAGTACTTATAATATGTTTGTTAACTAATTAGACTTGACTTAGCCATACACACTGGCAGTGTAGACCTTAACCGTTGGATGGTTTCAGTTCAGCAAAGATGACGAAGGTGAGCTAAGAGCAGCCTCACCCCAGAGCTGGCACTCCCCTTTGCTGCTGGTGTGGAAACATTGACGTGAAACCACCGAATGCACGGGTCCTGTCCAGCTCTGCTGAATGGAGGCCGACTTGGCGTATAGGGAGCCAAAAAAATGTGAATTTACCAAAGTTGTTCAGGCTCCAACTTAACATATATTAACCAACTTACAGAGATTCATATTAGAACTGTCCTTTGTTTGATAGGAATTCAACTAGATTCAGGACTAGATCATTTGCAGTGCTTGTATTGGTTTAGAATATAAGATTTTAAGATTTTCCGACACTGTACTAAACATTTCAATAAAATCATGCTACTTCTTTCTTTCATAGTTTGTTATTGTGGCGTGAATATGTTTTGATGGAGTGATGTGTTTTGATGGGGTACCTGAAAATGTGGGCTACTTCACGATTATAGCCCAGCCTATAAAATTACAGAAAAGCCAGAGGTTTATTGAAGTCAGCTCGTCTCCATTTTCAAGGTATTGCTGAAGGACTGATCAGCAGTCTCCTTGCCCCAAAGCGTAACAGCTGTGCCACATAAGGCATCCAAGTTGATAATTCTAGACGTTTCCTGTGAAATTGAAGATTGCACAGTGTGTTTACACAGCAAAGAAGTAATGTTCGATATTCAGAGATTGGAGCAGACCAAACTTAAACATGGGCCCCATAGAAGTTTTCCATGCACTTCGATTTCAGGCTCATCAAGGACAGTTTCCTGCTCCCATGAAACAACTACCTATTCAGTGACGCTTGAAGCTACTCTCGTGGGGACAAAGTAAATTTCTGATTATATTTTCCCAGTAAAGCTCAGCTTCAAAGAGTGGATAACTGAGAATGGCAACATGTCTTAAAGTCCCAGTGAAATAAATATAAAGAACTAAAACCAGGTTCGTCAGGGAAGTTAGTTTAAGAGAGAGAGTGGTAGAATATGCTAGAAGGGAGGGGGGAAATGAAGGAGAGGCAGAAACACCAAAAACACTTCAATTCTACCTAATGCTGTCACGTCTTTGGGAGTGTTTCATTTCCTGGGTTTGCAGGTCCTACAAACCCAGTGGCTGAACTACAGGCTAAGTGTCAGAGGATCACTCAGCCTGGGGAGATGAGGAAGGGCTTTGTGAAGGGACTGCCATTACTGGTGGTACTTCATGGCAGAATTTTCCAGAGCCAGATGGCTGTATTGCAGCCATGGACTGAAGTAAGACAGCGTAGGGTGTTTGGTATGCAATATATGTTTGAGCGAGGATAGCCAATGAAGATGGAGGTCAGGGGCTAAAACTGCCATATCCTTCGTGTATATTGCATAGAGGAGTCAATGTCAGTCCTTTTCACTACAAATCTTGACCTTCTTGGTTGATCGCGTGTACCCCAGGAACACATCCCTCTACCTGTCCCCTGCCCTCAGTTCTGAGGACCACAGTCTGGATTGGCTGGCTTCACTGGAGTCCCCGAGCTCTGTTTTCTCTTCTGAAAGAGCACGATGCTCAAGGACTCAGACTCCACTACTCACTAGCGTTAAAAACAAACAGCAAAACCTCTTCGGGCTAGTTGTTTAACCCCTCTGCCTCAGTTTCCTTATATGTGAAATGGGATAGTACCTTGCAGGTGTGCTGAGGATTAAATGGAATATCGGTCAAGTGCTTCGAACGGATTGCTTTGTACATTAACTGCAATTTTTAGAGCAGGCATCTTAAATCTTGCCTTTGAAATACTAAGAAGGTGTGGAGAAGCAAGATTTTCAGACATGTTCCGGATGTTAAGCCATGTGCCTGTGAGCTTGTTACAAACAATCCCCTCCCCCAGGGTTTCGTTGTCCTGGCATGTGGCCGTCTCTGTCAAGGGTGGCCTTTGGTGATGACAAATAGTTGCATGTTGCAAATACTTCCAATAGGCTATAGAAATGACAGGAATGAATGCCAGGTAATAATAGAGATGGTGATCAGGCCATTTACAGCAACCTGATTCCATCCGCCACCCCAACATAAATACAGCTGAAAGTGGTGCCCAATACAAACAGCAGTTTTCACTGCTCTGACAGCTGAATCCCGTGGTCAAAAGAAAAACCAGCTTCACTTGACGTTTTAAAAGTGATAAAAGGAGAACAGAAAAGCAAAAAATGTAATGCAGTGCGAAGTGCCCTGAATTGGGAGTGTGGCCATGTAGAGTCTGGTGCCTGGTATGCTACTAGCAAGCTGTGTGACCTTGGGAAAATAATCTTTATCACTCTGAGTCTCAGTATCTGCCAAAATGAGAGGGTAGGTGGGTGCTGAAGTCCCCAGCAGTCTTTATAGGCTATGGTATCTATTCTCGATTTAGTGGGACTGTTTCTACTAACCAAAAGTTGTGGTTCTAATGACGCAAAGATGGTTACTTCCCCATCAGGCAAACAGCTTGTTTTTAGTTGGTGGGGACTTACTCAATTTCAGCAAGGAAGTCCTGTATCCCAGGAAACCCCTCAGTCCTGGGCCAACCGGATGCTTGGTCATGCTAGTTCCCTCTCTTCTAAGGCAGATGGTTCTGGATCCCCAGTGCCGCCTTGGCTAAGGAATCCCGTGATCATGGCTCTGATCTTGTGCCAGCTGCAACAAAATCAGGTTATGTGACAAACCCGAAAATGTGCCAACAACCTGTGACGTCTGTTCTTTTCAAAATCCATTCTCAAGTAGCTAGGAGCTGAAGAGCTGTACTCAAAAATAGAGGGAAAAGGGGGGACACTTTTAGAAAATGCATTCAAGACCCAGCTTGATTGTCAGTCCATCAGCCCAGCTGCCTTTAGTACCATTGAGGCCCCAGGGGACCGTCTGGGCAGAAGGCAGAGTGCCCGAATGTTCACTGGTGAACATTGCCCTTCTGTGCGTTGAGGGCTCTTACACCTGTGAGCATTTGCCCATCTGAGACTGAGGGCCACAGGCAGGTGTAACAACCCTCAATGCACAGAAGGTCGATGTTCACCAGTGCATATAATTCTCTTGAGTTTCCCTAGACAGGGAATGTCATCTAGTATCTTCTTGCATCAAAGCCAAGACTTACAGAAACATTTTGAGGACTAAAACTGAATTTGTGTCACTCTAAAATCATCAGGGTGATTCTTCAGGGCACATTTTGATGTACAGTTGTGATCGACTGAACTCATCTGAGGAACCAAGGGAAGGCCCTTAAATGTCTTTAAGCCTCAGAATAGCCTATATTTAGGACAGAGCAGTCCCCTAAGGTATTGAAAGGGACAGACCCCTCTCAGCAGCAATGGTGCATTCATTCACTGACTGCACTCATAGCCTTCAAAGAACAACACTTTGGTGAAAGACAAAATTCACGGAGAGTATCCTGTGAATTAAAGACACGGAGAAAAAACGGCACAAGAGGACTGGTCTTTGATAAGTTAGTAATTCCTTACTGACTTGCCTTAGCATTGCCATAAACACAGTTTCGACCCTTGTAATTTGGAGATGTTTTGTTACATGCGTGCAAGTTAGGGACTATAATCCAGCTGAGAAATAACCACTTCCTGCTCTGTATTTTGACTTTTGGGAACGTTCTGGCTCAGACAGATGTCAAATGGAAAACTCATGTCTGTAGTCGTCTGGACGCCTGTCTTGATGCTTCTTTCCACTGGCAAAGTGAAGGAGCAGGTCTCATTTCTTTCATTCCCACGCCCATTGTTTATGAAGCACCTACTAGGAGACCATTGTGTGAAGGTGGGGCTCTGATGTAAGGGCAAGATAAATGAAATACATGACTGAGGCTTACATGTGGCACCTAACTTGTTAGCTTGCACGTAAGGTAATATCTCAAAGCCTCCACGGTTCTTGACAATTTTTTGAATGGAGGGCCAGGCCCCCTTGAGTATGAGCCCACTGATAACCTGTCTCCCACAAACCACCCCTGGAATACATTACCTAGTACCTATCTGTATTTTTTAACTGGGTGAGAACTTAAAAACATGTACAACCATCTGAGTACAGAATCCTTCCAGACACAGTAAAACCTTGGGTTGCGAGTAAGCTGGTTTGCGAGTGTTCTGCAAGACAAGCAAACATTTCTAATACATCTTAACTTGGTAAATGAGTGATGTCTTGCAATACAAGTAGTTTGTTTCTGGAACGAGTTATGCTCACAAACCAAGGCATTACTGCATTTTTCCCCTTTATAGTTATCTCACCCACATCTAATTTGATAGCTCTATTAGTCAGGATTCTTCAGAGAGACTGAACCATTAGGAGATATATACATAAATATAGATATATAGATATGGATGTGAATTTATTTTGAGGAGTTGGCTCACACAATTGTGGGGACTTGCAAATCTGAAATCTGTAGGGCAGGTGGTAGGCTGGAAATTCAGGCAGGATTTCTGTGTTACAGTCTTAAGGCAGAACTTCTCTGGGAAGTCGCACTTTTTGCTCTGAAGGCCTTCAACTAATTTGATGTGGTCCACCCCCATTATCAAGGGCAATCTCTTTTACTTAAAGTCAACTGATAGTAAAGGTTAATCGCATCTACAAAATAACTTCACCGCAACACATGGACTAGTGTTTGAACAAACTGAGGACTATGGCCTAGCCAAGCTGACACATAGGATGAACCATCACAATAGCCTTTTTCTTTTTTTAAGCAGCTCACTTTAGCTGTCTTTCCAAAACATTCAACTCTGTCTCTTCTTATACTCATATTTAATTGTGCTATGGTGTTACAATGAAAAGCATAGCTGGCGGAGTTCCTCGGTTTTCCTGGGTCTCTCCCATGTATATAGGAGACATACATGTTATTCAACTTCATTTATTTTCCTCCTGCTATTCTGTGTTATGTCAATTTGATTATAGATCAGCCAGAAGAACCTAGAAGAGTATAAGAACATTTTTCCTCCCAATAGTTGGCCCAGTCAGCAGGATAAAATTTATTGGCTGGAACCTCATACTTCCCCATTCCCCAGAATGCTGCAGCTGACAGATCCTGTGATGTCTGAGGAACAGCCAGCAAGAAGTAAGCATCTTTACCCCGTCGGCCTCCCGAATCTCTGTCTGCAGAATTCGGTGGAAGTTACAAGTGGGGAGAGTTGTTTTTCTCTTTCTAAATTTAGTTTTGTGGAGAAAATATCAGTAGAACTAGCTCCTTGGGTTTAGCGACACTTGGTTATTGGGTATGAGTACTCAAGGGTTTTCTTAATTGCTTTCCTTTCAGAGGTGGTAAAAATAGGGCCTCGTTTTCCACCAGTCTGAGGATGGTAGATACATCAGATGTATAGCCAAGGGGGAGCGGGGTGGATTCACACTTAGGGAATCTAAGAAAACATGGTTGAATTTTTGGCTTGATAAGTCATCATATTCTGTTCGAA